CAAAATGATGGTTTTGATTCATTACTTTACTTCTCCCTCAGTAGGAAAATATTCTCACATACATATGTAGTTTTAGGCATTCATTTGTTTATTTTTCCTCTTGTTTGTTTTATTTTTTTGAGACTTAGTCTCTCTCTTCCAGATTATCTTCTAGGCTGGGCTTATGTTTATAGTCTGCCTCAGCCTTCTGAGTGCTGAGTTTTTAGTCCTGTACTACCATGACTGGTTTCATTTATTCTTGAATGATCGTTGTATTTGTAGGTTCCTTGCTGCATGTACTTAAAGCAACCTTGACCTCTTTCAGATGGTTAACAAGGCATTGTTTGTTCCCTGGCTTCTGTGGCTAACAGGATTTGCCTTCTTGTTTGAAGGTTAATGCTATAGACATACAATTAAATATTGGGGTAGGGGATATAGCTCAGTAGTAGAGCACTTGTCTGACATACATGGGGTCCTGGGTCCAGTCCATATCATCACACACATACATATATACACACATCCATAATTAAATGTTATATAAAGGTTGTTAAAGCAAAACCATGAATTGTTCTAATAGGTACTTTGTTTTAGTCATAAAACTTTTCAGTGTATGTTTAAAATATCATATACTGTATATGATACAAAACAAGTTTATGGAACAGTTTATAACATGTTTCAAATTGAATAATTTTAAAGAGAAAACTTTGAATAATTAAGAGGTTTTTTTATTTTTTAATTTTCTTTTTTGCTTGGCCTGATGGCACATGCCTGTACTCCCAGTACTCAGGAGGCTGAGGTAGGAGCATCACAAGTTTAAAGCTAGCCTGGGCTATATAGCAAGACTCTATCTCAAAAAACAAAAACAGAAAGCAAATAATAACAACCCCAGGGCCTTGTACATGCTAGTCTCGTGAAAAGATGTTACTTTAAACCAGAGGGGAGTAGATTGCCAATCAGACACCAGTGTATTCTTGTCTTCCAAGAATTTAAGAGATTTGCAAGTTGATATACCGAAAGGCAGTCTAAAAAATTAAAGAAAAGAAGGAAAACATATTTGTGTATAAATGCATAGTAAAGCACATTTGTGAATTATGTGCTGATTAAAAATTAGGTGTGAAGGGCCAGCCAAATAGCTCAGCGGCTTAAATCACCTGCAAGCAGTGCAGGGGCCAGGGTTCAATCTCCAGGCCTCCTCGGGGCATGCTGAGATAGCAATTGAGACTGAGCTTGGTGGCACACGCCTGCAATCCCAGCTCTTGGGAGGCTGTAAACAGGCGGATCACTCACTAGGAGTCTGATCTAGTAGTGAGACCCTAAACACCCTGTAGACCCTTCCCTAAAATACAACAACAACAAACTTAGCCATAAAGGCTGCTGTAGATAAGAGGGTAATTTGGCCTTAGCAACAGATACTCCTGACAGTTACAATATTTTTAAAATCTGTCTTCATTTAATGTTTGATTTATCATGTCCCTACTCTGGATATAGTGTCAAGGAATGTAAACTGAATTTATTGAACTCAGCAGATATTTATTTGGTGATAACCACGTGATAGGCACTATTGTAAGTGCTTGGAATATAAACAAGAATCCTAGCTCTGTAGAGTTTGCATCCTGGCAGAGAGATGACAATAAACATGAAAAGGGAGTTGTACATTATATTCAAAAATGATAAATACAGAAACAGAATAAAAAGGAAAACAGGACAGATTAGGAGATGGTTTGAGATTTTAGTTTGCAACTTGATGTGGGTTTCTGTTTGTGAGGTTTCCATGAGTTGACCATCTGGGAGACAATGGTCCAGAAAGAAGTAAGAGCCCAGTAAAAGCCGTATACCTGTTATGTTTATGAACCAACAAAGAGGCCAGTGTACCCCAGCAAGCAGAGTATAAGAGGTAAGGTCAGAGAATTCATGGGAGAGGGGAAGAGTTGTCAGACAGCTGGGCTTTATACACCACGTGAGTAAATACTTCAGGTTTTACTACTTCTGAAATGAGAGGGGCTGGGGAGGTAGCTCAGTAGAATAAGCGCTTGCCTGGCAAGCACAAGGACCTGAGTTCAATCCCCAGTTCTGCCAAAAATAAAAAACCAAAATGAAATGAGGAACAATTATAAGAATTTTTAGAAGAGTGATATAATTTAAATTTTAGAAGGCTGAGTGCTATATTGCGTGTTATTCTTTGGGTAGATCCCAGGAGGGCAGTTTAGACACTGTTGCAATTATATAGGACAAAATGATGGAGGCCCGCTCAAACTATATCAGGAAATATGGTAACAAACAGTTGCATGATTATATCTGAGCTGAAGAAACAGATATATTGATAGATTGGATAAAATTCTCCTATTTGAGGACTTCATAGTGGGAGAGAAAGAAACAGACAATCAGGTTTACATACATATCAACATTTATAGATAAACATATGTAGATATATATCTATAAATGTATAGATTTTAAAGATTTGGAAAGCAAATATCTGAGAAAGCTTCTTAGAAAGAGAGGTAAAACCCTAAGTGGATTTAAAAATATAAGAGTTTTTTTGTTTTTTGTTTGTTTGTATTTAGTACAGGGTCTGCAGGGTCTCACTACACAGATCGGACTCCTAGTGATCCTCCTGTTTTCAGCCTCCCAAGAGCTGGGATTATAGGCACAGGCCACCACGCCCAGGTCTCATTTCCCTGGTGCCAGCTCTACAGGCCCGAGGGGATGGAACCCTGGTCCCTGCCTCTGCCTAAGCAGGTGCTTTAATCTGCTGAGCTATCTGAGTGGCCCATGAAAGATTTTAAAAAGTTTTTAAAGAATTCAAGAAAAACCATCTCAGGCAAAAGTGTGAACAAGAGCTTAGAGGGAAGAAACAGCATGGTAGGTACAGACAGGTGAATGCTAATAAACATGAAGTAGAAATTTCTCAAGTGGAAGAGATGGAAGAAGATCGTGGATGGCCTGCCTGGTTTGTCTCATGAAGGACCTTGAGCTTTAATCTATCTGTGGGCTGTAGGAAGCCACTAAAACATTTTAAGAATGAGATAAGAGTCTTTCCCTTGTCAGGGCAGGCAGTTGAGGAAGGTCTTGCTGTGTAGCTCAGGCTGGCCTTGAACTCACTGTAATCTGCCTCAACATCCTGAATTCTGGGGTTACAGGTATGGGCCACCACACCCTGCAGTAAGATTCTCTAAAGTAGATTGATCAGATGAGAGTTGAATGTGAGGAGGTTAAAATGACTGTCTTAGGGTTGGCGAGTTAGCTCAGTGGAGTAAGCACCTGCTTTGAACCAGCGTTCTATTCTGGGTTCCGCATATGAAGCTGGCCCCACCCCCACGGCATGCCAAGCTAGCATCCAAGTCTGAACATGGTGGCAGAAGCCTATAATCCCAGTGCTGGGGGATCACTACGAGTCCAAGCTGCATAGTGAGACCCTGTACCAAATACATAAATGAAAATAAATAAATAAAAAAAATAAAATGACTGTCTTTCCCCATCTGTACTACAGCCTGTAATCTCAACTCCCTGGGAGCCAAGGCAGAAGGATTATAAATTCAAGGCCAATTTGGGTAACATAGTGAGACGGTCTCAATAAAATTTTATTTATTTATTTATTTATTTTTAAATACAAACTACACCACAGGTTTTCTTTCTTTCTTTTTAATTTTATTTATTTATTTATTTATGTGTGTGTGGGGGGCAGCTCAGCCCACCAGGGGGTGGGCCTGGCTGGCATGTGGTGCTGGGGGATTGAACCGCGGTCCCTGTGCTTTGGTAAGCTTGTTCTAAATAGGTGCTTTAGACCACTGAGCCATCTCACCAACCCATCAATAAAATTTTAGAAAGGACTGAGTTTGTAGGTCAGAGATCAGCATCTACTTAGCATTTCAGAGGCCTTGGGTTCCTTCTCTTGTACTAGGGAAAAGAATTACTATTTTAATTCAAATTATCAGTCTACAACATTAGTCATTCTTAAAAGCATTAGTCCATTTACGTTTGTTTGTTTGTTTGTTCTGGTGATACTGGGGATTGAACCCAAGGCCCCATGCATACTAAGCAGGTACTTTTATCACTGAGCTACATCCCCAGCTGTTCACCTTTTTTTTTTTTTTTTTCAATAAAAGAAGTAAAGCAGGGTAACAACAGAGTGTACTGCTATAATGTATTTATGTGTGCTTCCACACGTATAAATCTAACCTCTGTTGGACTTTAAAAACAAATTCTTTTTTTTTTTTTTTGTGGAACCAGGGATTGAACACAGGCCCTTGCGCTTGCCAGGGAAGCGCTTATTCCACTGTGCCATCTCCCTGGCCCCTTTAAAAACAAGTTATATAAATTCTTTTTTATTTCTAGTTTTAGAAAACAAAAGACTTAATTTCTGTTTACTGTATAATGAATGTTTCTGTGAGGTTATTGTTGCCTTTAATTGAAGAAAGTCTTAATTGATTAAAAACTTACAAATCAGTGGGATTTTTTTTTTTTTCCTAATTTGTACTTTTACCAATCAAGGCAATATGTCTCAGTATCATGATTTAAAGAGTACAGTATTATCACTGAGAAAAATCAGATGACCTACCTGTTAGCTAACAACAATAACAAAAAAGCTCCAGGGTATATTGTATCAAGCAGTTCTAGGACACGAAAGCTATGCAGTACTTTGTGTTTTATATAAAAGGTAAGCTGCTATTTAACCTGTCCCAGAGGCATGTGTTGTTGTACCATAAGCCAACTGTGGCGCCTGCTTGTCTGACCTTAAAAATCAAAGTTTAAGAAGTTTGTGTATACTTTTGTTCTGTGTATTTTTGTCTGTTTGCTTGTTGTTCTTAGGAATTGAACCCAGGATCTCTTTTATTATAACAGAAAATGGCACCCCAAACCAAGATACTTCAGTTTCTTAGTTGCCCAGATAGTAGTTTCTATTCCAGTATGGTTGCTTCTGTCTCTTAGAAATGGCTGGTCATTGTGATGCACACTGTATAAACCAATCCCCAAATGACAAGCCACTCTGCCTCTGTACTTTCTATGTGCTTATCTCATATAAGCCAAGGCCACCAGAGATCAGAGTCGTATTCTTGTAATGACCCCATCAATGCCCATTACATAAGTAAGTGCCTGCACATCCAGCATGTCAATTCCGTGTTTCTGCTTGCCATTGCAGTATGCTTGGCAAATGCTGTCACTGGGATAAACCTTGGTAACCCTGCATTGCATTTTACATGTATCTGCTGACAGGCTGGTATAGAAATTGGGAAGCTGTTTTTTTTTTTTGTTTGTTTGTTTGTTTGTTTGTTTTGTTTTGTTTTTGGCAGAACTGAGGATTGAACTCAGGTCCTTGCATTTGCCAGGCAAGCACTTATTCTATTGAGCTATCTCCCCAGCCCTGGGAAGCTGTTATGATGGTTTGAAATAGTTCAGGAAAATAAACATAGTAAAACTGAACCTATATTATTTATTAGGCACAGAATATATACTTTATATACATTATTGTATTTAATCCTTGAGACCTTTGAAAAACTGATGTTAAACCAAGATAATGTAGTTTAAGTATTGGAGCAGAATGTATCAGCTGGCATTCAGATTGACACATAGGAGAAGAGTACAAGAGTGGTATAGAGTGGCAAAGATTAAACATCTATTTTCTTGAACTTACTGGACTAGACATACAGTCGAGGTAGAGAATATTTGTTATTTAAAGTAGGGGAAAAATAAAAAAATCCTCTTTAAATTACCAATTTAAAAACATGTTGCCGGGCACTGTGGCCCATACTTGTAATCCCAGCACTTGGGAGGCTGAGGTAGAAGGTTTGTCTTGAGTTCTAGGGCAGCCTCAACTATATAGGGAGACCCTGTCTCTAAATAAATAAATTAATTTAAAAAACATATAATACATGCACATGCCATACAGTATTCAGTGTTCAAGTATGAATAGCATCCATCTTACACTGTGGCCCACTGACCCATTTCCCCTCTCAAGATACACCTATATTAGGCAGTCTTCGTATATGCAACCACTGTGATACTTCAGTTGTTGAACTTAGTTCATTCCGAATTGATGTTTGAACGCCAGATAGTTCAAAAAACAGCATATTTTCCCCTAGCGCTTATCCTACTGAGCCATCTCCCCGGCCCCCTTTTCTTTAAAAAAAAAAAAAAAAAAATCATGATTTTCAGTTTTCCTCTTCACTGCGGGTATCCTGTTCTTTGGAGCCATGGTTACAATATTTTACACAAAGCATATACAGAAAAAACCACAGTGACAAATGTTTTAATGCATTAACACAAGCACTATATGTTGTCTGGGTAAGAGTGGCACTTAGACTGTAGCTCATCCCTTGTGTCCCCAGTGAGATGTGACATATGACTCACTCTTGGCTGGTACAGGTTTTTGTTTTGTTTTGCTTTTGGTAATTGAGGTCAAACTGTAGTCCTTATGCTTGCCAAGCAGGTGCTTATGCTGCTGAGCTATCTCCTTGCTGGTACAAGTTTATTCAAGTCAGATTTTCAGTTGAGGAATTGAGGAGTTGTGAACATTGATATTCTTTGAGCTTTGCTGTTGGAGTAGTAGAAAGCTTGAACTTGGAGGCATTTGGTAACCAAGATAGCACTGTATACATGTGTTTAAACAAACGGTAGGGTGCTGCACACATAGTTTTGTGTCATGCTTATCTCACTGTGCTTTATTACCTTTATCTTTTCCTGATTTAATATAATCAAATTCATTTTCCTAATAATCCTTAAAGTTTCCTTGTGTGTAGTCTTAAGTGCTGTTTTTCCTGAAATGGTAATCCTTTATTTTTTCACATCTTAGTCATTTATTTACTTCCTCTATAAAAGCCTTGTGAATGGTTTCTTTTGTTCTATGTAATCTTTTCTTTTAAATAGAAATAATAGTTGTTACAAATTGCCAGTCCAGTTTAACAAGTTTATGAATAGTAGAGATCATATTCATTTTTAAAATTTACGTGGTACCCTCCCAACAGTGATTTGGATATGTTAGATAATGAGCTATTTATTGATAATAGTGATAGGAAACTGTCTCAGGTTACCAAACCTGAATATTTTGAATATCACCTTTAACTTGTTAACTTCTGTCGCTATTTCATGCCTGAGCTTTTACTAATGATATTTTAAGGAGTATGTATATAAATGCAAAAACTCATCATATAACCTTATAACAATTTCATTTTTTTTGCATGCACATTTTATTTGTTCATATTTTTTTCTTTTTGTTTATTTTGTTCTTTAACCTCCTCTGTTGCATAGAGAAGCTTCAACCAGTTTTGCAATTTTCCAAGTCACAAACGGAAGTCTATAACGACAGTACTAACTTGACATGCCGAAATGGACATCTCCAGTCAGGTGGGTTTTAAGTTAACTAACAGAATACAAGAAAGCTTACATGTAAATTAGAGCTTTTCTTAAGGTTATAATACTGATTTGACTTTATTATGGAAGGTTTGTTATGTTTTCACAGGGCTGTTACAAAAGTACAGTATCTCATTTATAGTTTATATGAGCATGTAATAAATAACATATAGCCATTCTGAGCATGCTTTTTTGTGTATTTTACAGCTTCTGATTTTTATAGTACAAGTGTGACTATACATCCTTTTAAATGATTAAAATACTCTTTTTGTCTTACTTGTATTTTAAGCTGTTGTGTTTTACATGAATAGCCATTCTACTTTTCTGTAAAACTGTTGACAGAAATTTTAATTTTTCTTTGTTACATACTAAATTGTCATTGCATATCATTCTTTGTAAATATTATGTGTGATATTTTACCATAGTACCTGTTAGAAAAATATCAAAAATCCATGTCTTAAGGAGAAATGTTATAATAATGCTGTTTCTGTGGATTAAATGTTTTGTTCATGGCTTAATTCTTTTTTCCAGTAATTTCTGGATGTCAATTGCTATAGAAGAGTAAATGCTTTTTTGTTCTCTTTTGTTCTATTTGGACAAACTTAGTTTCCTAGGGTAACAGCTACTTGTTGCTTGTTTTGCAGTCCTGGGGCAAAACCAGGGGTTCATGCATCCTGGCAAGTGTTCGACTACTGAGTTGTATCCCAGCCCTCAGCTAATTTTATTGCTGATTTTTTTCAGAAATAGTTCATGTCCAGTGACATGACATTTAAAGTGTGCTAAAGTCATATCTGATCCAAATTGTAGTAGAAGAACCTTAGATTAGGTTGTAAGACAACTGCATTTATTTCTTTCTTTTTTTAAAAATGTATTTAGTACAGGGTCTCACTACACAGATCAGACTCAGAGTGATTCTCCTGTTTTTAGCCTCTGGAGTGCTGGGATTATAGGTATGCCACCATGCCCAATGTCAGTCTCCATCTCAGTGTGCCCCGGGTGGGGGAGGGCTCATGGCACACTGGGGATCAGGCCCTAGTCTCTGTGTCTACTTAAGCAGGTGCTTTAATCTGCAGAGCTATCTGGCCAACACTGCATTTCTTATTCACGTGAACTATACAATTTTCAAAATGTTAATAGTGAGCCAGGGAGATAGCTCAGTAGAATAAGTGTTTGCCTGGCAAGCGCAGGGTCCTGAGTTCAATCCCCAGTCCCACAAAAAAAAAAAAAAGCAATAGTAGTAAAGAGAATAAGTGGATATCCATCGACAGAAGAAATAGCTCATTATTATCTTTTTCCCTTGTGGCTTCCCCTCTACCTTGAGTTCTCACTTAGATTTAGTCTTCTAGTCAGAGGCACAACTGGTTCTATTCTTCTTAATCCTATGTCTGATTTAAATTGCCTTAAAATACCTGAAATGGTATAAATTTACATGTTTGTCTGTTTCTTTTAGCATGGTTGTGAAGAGCTAACCTTTTCATAAGGAACTGTAAAGAAATGTAAAAATGGGTGGTCGATCAGATAGCTGAGCAGATTTAAAGCACCTGCTTAGGCAGACTCGGGACCAGGGTCCTCCCTGGCATGTTGTGCCTGCCCCGGGGGCATGCTGAGATGGTGGTTAAGACTGGATGTGATGGCATACCTCTGTAATCCCGGCACTTGAATTTTTTTTTTTTTTTTTTTTTGTACGGGGAATTGAACTCAGGACTGCATTCTTCATGCAAGCACTTATTCTACTGAGCTGTTTCCCCAGCCTACTAAATTTCTGTTGTTTTGTTTTGTTGGTCAGCTCAGCCCACCCTGGGGTGGGGCTGGTTCAGCATGTGGTGCCAGGGATCAAATCGAGATCCCTGAGTCCTTGCTTAAGCTTGCCTAGGCAGGTGCTTTAGACTGCTGAGCTATATCACTGGGCCCAATCCCAGCACTTGGAAGGCTGAAAACAGGAGAATCACTACAAGTCCAATCTTAGTAGTAAGACCCTATTGACTCTGTTTTAAATACAAAAAAAAAAAAAAAAAAAGGAAAGAAAAAAAATGTAAAAATTACCACAGAGCAGTAGTTAAATTTCCAAAATACAGGGGTGATTAAAAATACTTTGAATTTTTAAATTAAGAAAAAATGTAGTACAATAAGAGATGCTTTGCCAAAAGATGATGTGATAGATGTGTTTGGAGCAAAGGGAACATATTTTGAGGAGATTAATAATTACGTGTCTTGGGCTGGCCTTGATAGCTCAGTGGACTAAAGCACCTGCTTAGGCAGAGCGCAGTGGCTGTTCCATCCTGGGTGTACCATGCCAGCCCAGGCCCTGGGGCACACTAAGATGGTGATTGAGAGTGGGCATGGTGGCGCTCCTGTAATCCCAGTGCTTGGGAGGCTGAAAACAGGAGAGTCACTACAAGTCCGATCTACATAGTGAGACCCTGAACACTCACTCTGTAGACCCTGCCCTAAATACAAAAAATAGATAGGGGCCGGGGAGATGGCTCAGTAGGATAAGCGCTTGACTGGCAAATGCAAGGATCTGAGTTCAATCCCTGGTTCCGCCAAAAA